AAAATGTATATTATTGTATATAAAATATACTACACAATATAGTTTGTATATTACTGTATATAAAAATATATATATAAGTAAATATTTTATACTTTAATTTAATTCGTTTACCAAATACTCACAATCTAACTATTTTTACCTAAGTTTCAAGAGAAAGGCAGGAAACCGCGCGTTATTATGTTCACAATATACCTTTGGTTAGTTTGAAATATGTTGCATAATACAAATGTATATAAAAATACATTGAATGAGTCACAGGTGTATAAACAACTTACTATTCTTAATTTGAAACAATTTGATATTTGTGTTTGTTATTTCTATTATATCATTTTCATTAATTTAATTTAAATAAAAAAATAAGTAAGAATATTTTTGAAGTAGACACAATGGGTCAAGGTTAACTAACCTATAAATTAATCTACGTTTCATTTTCCTACTTCAAAGATAAAAATGAAATTAAATTTACAACTTTAAGAAGAAAATATTGTCTTAATCAAATAAACGAATTTATTTCTAATTCTAAATTCTAAATATCTTTTTATTTGTAATTCTTTTTTGTAGATATATCTATCTATCTATCTATCTAATGATTTATCTAAGATACGTGTATCGATTCGTAATTCGTAGTACTACAAGACACGCGATATTAAGGTTGGATAAGATCAACTAACTATTAAAAAAAAAAAGAAAAAAAAGGAAACAGGAAAAGGTTGATTGAAGCAGAACAACTACTACTACTATTACTACTAACCAGTACTAATACTAAAATCATGTAAAACATAGAAAAAAAAAGAAACATGGAATGAAAAGTGAAAGATAAAAGAATAAAAAGAATTAGAAAATAAAAAAAAAACTCCTCCCTCTAAAAAAAACGCCCCATAAGAAAAAAAAACAGTTGAATGATCTAGGAATGTCTGTTAAACACGAAAGTGTTCGGTCTCTTTGATAAACTTCGATAAGTTCTAACCAAAGTGGGGGAAAACTAGCTATGAACATACACATATACACACATACACCATGGTTAGACTCCGTGGAATGACTTTAACGGCGAGTTTGCTAGCGGTTAATAATAGTTCGAGCGTGGAAAGTACTCCTTGGGCCAGGCCTACCTATTGGGTGGCACCGGGTCAGGTGCTCGTAGAAAGCGAACCTCTGCTTTGCTTCGTTTTACTTAGTATACATACATATACATATGAATCATGATAACCCATTACTCGTACAACGTAAAAACATTTCTTCAAAATTATTTCAACCTATATAATCAGAATATTATTGGGTTGGCAAAATTCAAAATCAATTGACACTGCCTAACCGATGGCAAATGGTCATTAACAAAAATGGACAGTACCTAATTGATTAAACTTATATTTTTAAACAAATATTTGAAATTTTCATTCTTATTTAAAATCCGCAATTACTTATTTGCCAACCCAATATAATAATAAACAAAAATTGATAATAATTGTTAACAGAGTGAGAAAAAATCGACATTGAAAATAACAAAAAGTATAAGTTTTGTAAAAGAAGGAAAAAAGGAGAATCAAGAAGAAGTTTGGTGGGGGAATGAGGGAGGAATAAGGGGAAAAGGGTCGGAGGGGGGTTCACTTTCTCCTTTTTGGAATCGTCCTCAATTACACGGAGTCAAGAAGACGAGACTCGCGCGTAATTACACGGCTGAGGTGGCAGTAGCCGACCGAGCGAATCGCGAGCCATCCTTTTTCCTTCCTCCCCACCCCCACCCCCACCCTCACCATCAACTTCCTACTTTTACCATCACCATTTCCTCCTACCGCAAAACCGCGTACTTTTCCTTTTCCTTTTCTCTTTCTACCTTTCTGTTCCTGTTCCTTCCGTTTGAAAACATTTCAAACATTTCAAATCTAACCCAATTTGATTTTTTATCAAAACGATTGTGCTAAAAATGACGATGACGGTGACGATGAAAATGTTGTACGAGAGAATCTCATTGAATTTGACGATGAAAACGTTGACGATGAAAATGTACGAGAGAATCTCATTAAAGACACATTGAATTTATTTTTGTTTTATTTTTTTAAGCAATTTGAAAAAACGTGTATTATTATTATTATTATTATTATTATTATTATTATTATTATTATTATATTTGTTTAAAGTGAAAGAAAATAATTTAAAAAATAAATTTACATATGGTGAAAATGTTAGAAAGTAATTATTAATTGATCGTATCAAAAAATTTAATAGTAGTATTAAATTCTTCAAAGAAATTTCTCTTTCTATTTATAAGAAGATAACTTTCTATTATATTGTATTAGAATACTTTAAGAAACCATTTCTTTTTTTTTTTTTTTTTTAATTATATTGCCAATTTTACAATACCAAATTTTGTTTTTTTTATACTTTAAAGATACTATTTATATCAAAAAATAATCCTATTGCAATGAATACTTAATACTTAACATAAAATAACTGTGTAAAGAGTATAGTTAAGTAGTTGTGATTGCACACACGGTGTGCAAGTGGTTTCGAATGTGTATATAAAACAGAATAATATATATGACGTGTGTCAAACAAAACGAAAGTAATTACGGATGTAAAATACGTGTTTTAAAAGAACACAACGACGACCTAGTATCGTCAAGAGAAAAAAAAAAACGATTTCACAAATGTCGTTAGAAAGCGTATCGAGTGAAAGACTTTGGGCGAATGTATAAAACGATTCGTTCCCAAATGACCGATATTAATCGTCACGTTTTTCTGTCTCTCCTCTTCTTCTTCTTCTTTTGTTTCTTTTATTTGTATCCTTTCTTTTTAATTCTACTTTCATTCTTCTTCTTCTTCTTCTTCTTATTTTCTTTTACATTTATTTTACAAACGATTGTATCAGAGATACTAATCGGATCTGTAAAAGCTTATCGAAATTTCAAACAAAAATTGGACAAGATGAAAAAAGTGGGCGACTAGTAGTCGCCATTTTGGAGAACGGATATCCTAAAGATAAGATTTTTACACACTCCAATGTAAAAAGAGAAAGAAAGAGAGAGAAAAATGTCAAGCTTAGCTTGTTTCTCTGGCATTCGATCAATCTGATAACGATTGGACGAATTTCGGTGGGAAAGAATAGTACCATACCATTTTGGAGGTTATCCAAAAGTACCATAAGTGTGACACGGAATAAAAGCTCTTTCCTTTTCATCGCTAGAACTTTAAAAGTATACTTGAGAGAAATTCTACTAAATTTCTCTTTCACTCTTTTTAGTTCTTTTCATTCCTATACCTAAAAAAATGAGTAAAGAACAAAACATTCATATTACAATGAAAAATATAAAATTAGGTTAGGAAAGGGGAAAGAAGGAAAGAAAAGGACAATTTTTCTTTTGATTGTTACATGATTACAAAATTATCATATTTGATAAAAAAGAATGACTACAATCATTAAAATGATCAAACATAAATTCGATGAGAGTATTGTAAATGAATTAACATGTTTAATATATATTTACAATAAAATTGATAAAAAGAATGATTATACAATCATTAAAATATTCAAACATAAATTCGATAAATATAATAAATAATATTTGTGCAACAAGATAATAAAATGAGAAGAAAAGAAAAGTATAAAAATGAATGAAGTATAAAAAAAGTGGGATAAAAAAAATCCCTAACAAAAAGTCTAAAATAAATAATATGACAAAGGAATAAGTATTACTATTATTATAGTACATTTTCTATTTATAACTATCTATACAAATTCATATTATAAATATAATCATTTATAAATCGTATCGATGATGAAGGAGAACTCGAAGGGAACCTTCAAGCGGTTTACAAGAGAGATGACTGACAAGGTATTGCAATGCAGGAATAGTAAAAGTCGGAGAACAATGGTTAGAAGCGGAATAGTACAAGCAAAGACCTTTGAGGCAATCGGATAACTGAAAAAAATGATGAAACACAATGGAGATGGCAGTACGCCCTTCCTTCTGGCTCTCCCTCTCCCTTAACCCCCTCTCTCTTCTCTTCTATCTTTCTTTCTGTTCCTTTCTTTCTCACTTATACTATTTCACCTTCTTCTTCCTCTTCTACTTTTCTACCATCCTTTTTTTGTTTTTTTTTTCTTTCTAAGCATTCCCTAACGTAATCTACCGTCCGCCCACCGTGGGCCGCGACTCTCGGCACACCCACTTGACCTCAATGTTAAAAGAAATTAAATTATGTAGGCACTAATACGTTCTATGGGCTTCCAAAAGGTCTGATATTCTTAGAACGCCTTAGGTACGATCAACGATTCATTTTACGAACAACTATCCTAAGGAACTTTTCTTTTTCTTATCTTTATACATCAAAATTCCAAAATATGTACATATATACATATATATATTTCTTTTTCTATCTTCTGTCCTACTTCTTCTTATCCTCTTCCTCTTCTTCTTCTTCTTTTTCTGTTTTTATTGCAAAGAATTTTAATTTTTTGTCCTTAATCCTGAAATATCCCGATTAATCCTACGCCTTCTTAAAATTAATTTGGATCGAAATGTGAGCTATAAAATTTCCAAAAACGTATATTATATATAAATAAATGATCCACTGTATAATTTTTTTTTTTTTGTAATTTAAATATAAAAAAAAATTAAATTTGTAAAATATGTAATACCATCTATTAACTCATCGCGTAAATTGATAGTTACTAGGAACAATGTTACTACATAACTGACCGTCGATAAAATAGGAAGCTACTAAAATTTCAAAAGAAATTCAACATATCTACAGTTGCTAAATCATCTACACATAATATTAAATTATAGTTCTACAGATACTTCAAAAATCTACTAATAAATGTACTTTTACATTTACTTCTACAAAAAAAAAAAAAAAAAAAAAAAATATGATTGCAATTATAAATGAAAATTATTTCATTGAAATAAATTTGAAATTTTTCTATTAAGAATTTCAATTTTGTGTATACTTCAATTAAAAATAATTTGAAACAATACTAAAACATGTTGAAAATTAATTACCTTGTAAATTGTCCAGCATGTACGACAGCAGCTTGTGGGTTCCAGATGGTTCTCCGTATAATGCCATAACCTCCTTGCTGAGAGGATTACCTTGAAGTCCTAGCACTTGTAACTGGAATAATTTTCCTAATTCGTATGGTAACACGCGAAGATAATTTTGGTTTAATAACAACTCCCTGAAAACAAAAAATCCAAATAAAATATATAAATAAAATATTACAAATATTATTATTAAAAATATGTTTAAGTATAAAACACGGAAAAAGAAGAATTCATACTTGAGGTAGATGAGATCCCCCAATTCGGCAGGTAAGCTTCGCAATTTATTGCTACTCAAATCTAATGCACGTAAATTAGTTAAACGGCATATTTCAGATGGTATTCTTTGTAAACTATTGCCGTTTAAATACAATGCCGTTAGATGAGTTAATTGCCATAAATTTGGGCTTAAATTTCTTATACTGCCTGTTATCTCCAACTCCGGCCAATAAGATTTCTTCCCGGAGTTTGCATCCTCCGTGGACATGATAGTATGCGTACGATGTGGATTAGAATTTTCATACTTGTCCTTGTGATTACGGGACATGTTAAATCCTTTAAACAATAGAAACAATATAGGTTAGTTTACTGTATAATCGATAAAATGATATTACGATACAGTTTTTTGATATATATATCCAACGATCAAAGTAATCGTCTTCTAAATCTATAAACTATTTGCGAATAGATGTATACTTTGATAAACTATTCTGTACTATAAAGATACAGTAATTCTCATGACTCTAAAGATTTAATGTCTAAAAGCACGTGTTTGTTTCGCATTATTTGATTAAACTATATAACAAATAAGATTTTATAGGTTATAATATATTAATCGGACTATCACTGCGAATATATAATAAATATTGAATAATTTTAGACAAAGATGCAATAAGATAACCTCTATTCGGATCAAAATGTCTGTATTAATGGATATTAACTTGACTTGTTACTGTATAAAGTGTACAGTATCTACAAGAAAGTTTTATCTGATAAATTTTGCATCGATCCAAATAATTTCAATGAAATCAAATAATAATGATTATAAATTTCATGTAAATTTTAATGACAAAATATATTAAACTTTCCCATACAATACTTAACACACAACGCTGTATAGTATATGCTATGTTCATAACCTATGTGAAATAAAAGCAATGATATTCTAGTTAAGTTTTGTTTAAGATGAAAACTTCTAAATGTTATTAACAATTGTATTAATTAATGATTATACGTAGATCATGAATATGTTATCGATTAAATGAATTTATAAATAATAATAGTCATTTGAAAATGTTGGAAATATCCTTCCTTCCTACAAAGTTCATATGTTCCGGACGACAGTTCCTTTGAGTTGAATTAACTTTCTCAGCATCAAGACCATTCGTACCTGTCAATTTTAATGCGAAAACCGAAGGATACTGTTACGCACCTTCATCTACCTCTTAGCACACACGAAACACGCGAGGAGTTGATTCCGAGAGAAAATTATCGCGTAAACAAAACTACCTTGACAAACACAAATCCTCCATTCATCAACTTCACCGATCGTGAACTAAAAACGTTTTTGATTGGCTACTCCACCGTCGAATCTAATCGAACTAGCTGAATTTAATGATATAACCTCAAAAATATTATCGTTACTAGAAGTGTATCTATTATATAGGGATTTTATTCATTTGTTCAGATTTTCTAACTAGATACAATGTTACTAGACCTTTTCCCGCTCTCAGATTGGTTTCAATAAAATATCTTTCATATTTTATTAAAAAAACGTAAATTTTTACAATATTTGGAATACTTAAGCGTACAAAATAAAGTTAAAACTGTAAATAATTATATCATTAACAATATTTTGATAAATTAAAGAAAAAACAAAAACAAGTGAGACCAAAAAATGGCACTGACAACTGACGCCATCTGGAAACTAACTAGGCAACTGCTTAGTGCAACAATGCATCATATGATCTAGTTCTATCAATTAATCTATCCAATCAATGATCTAATTTCATGATATTTCATTCATAATTCTATTCTAAATGTATAAATTAATTTTTATTCAAAAAAATATTATTATTTTATTATGAATAGGATTTGCAAACAAAACAAAATACATTTCCACTTGATAAATGTATACCTAAATAAAAAAAAAATAAAAAAAAAAAACAAATAGTACGTTGTTTACGTTGTTTACGATTTTGTACATGATCCCATAGACGACATTTACGTCTTCCGGTAATTTTATTCGCCCACGCACCTAACTTTCATCTTGTTAAAAATCTTTTGCATTTCACGTTCTCTCTCTTTCTTTTCTAATCTGAGAAAAGGTACACACAATATTCAAGTAAATACATATACTATGTATTATATATAGACAGATATTATACATCTACTGTGTTCTTAGAGATATATCTATTTCACGTAACCAGCTTCCGCGTGAGCAGGAAAATAATGTTGCATTGAAAACAAGATGCGTTTTATGAAATAATTCTACCAAGTAAATTCACGATTTCTACAAAATCAATTACACCAAAAGGGAATAATAATGATTGATAAAACATAAATGAAAAAAACAAACAAAACAATGCGTTATTTGACTCGAACACTAAATTATGAAGATAATTTATGGTAATTATTTTTGGTAAATATAAAAAGAACAAAATTGTGTCGAATAATACGTCATTATTTTTATAAAGTAACGACATTTAAAATTCTATATATTATATCACGGAAAATTAAGTTCAAAAAGAGAAACGAACTGAATCGTTCTAACATAAGAGCAGAAACGTTCAACGGTGAATGCATTTCAGTTTCCATGCAGACGCCTCCGCGTCTAGACAGTTTCGAGCTTGGCTACTACTTTACCAAATCTATACATATATGTACATAAATATATACTTTTAAGTATACATAAGTACATGGATGCTTAAATGGTCTACAAAATGATTATTACCAAGATAACAAAATTATTTAACGTTTCATTAACATGACCCTAATTATCATTACACATATGTATAATCAAATCAACCCTAAATACAAAGATTGATTAAAAAATTTTGAATTTATCAAGAATATCATTGAAATTATTTTTGTTTATATATATATAACATTGATATTACAACAAATATTATTAATATTGTCGCCTAAATTGGTCATCGTGTAAATATGGCGTCTTGTTTGTTTGTTTGCAAGCAACGTTTAGGATAACAATGTTCCAGAACTTTAAATAAGAATTACTATGAAATTTTCTATCGAAGAAAAGAAAGATATTTTTGTCTTTTCATTTTCTTTTTGTTTTTTTTATTGTCAACTAAGTTTCCGGAAACGGTTTCGATGGTTCGGCAACAAGGCAAAGAAGATACTACCTAAGAATGACATAACCACAAAACGTTCATCAAACGTAATGGGTATTCCTCTCGACCACAAAACTAAATGGAACTCGTTTCACGATGATTTTACTATTACAACGGCTTCGATATTCGTTTCTTGTTTTCTTTTAGTCTCAACTTTCATCAATTTTCTCTTCATTTTTTCTTCTTCTTTTTTTTTTTATTTATTTTTATACTTACATTTAAACAAAATAAATTAATATATTAAAAACGATACAAAAAAAAAGAAAAAAATAGACAAATATTTTATTCATTTCAATGAAGATCTAAAATAAGAAAAATCCTGTGTTGATATTCGCACGAGAAATTTCTTCTCAGATATCTTTGCTTATCCCTCGAATATGACGGATTAGTTTTCCCACACACACACACACACACACACACATACACATACTCATATGAGTACAGAACACGTAATCTTGCTGGGGAAAAATACTCAACGTGACAAATAGGGTAGGATGTTCCCTTAAATCGATAACCACCACCGACAAACTTTTGGGGGAAGATTGGCCCACCCCCTTTTCTCACAATCCTATGGGTTCATACTTTTATTTTTCTGTCATGAAAGTAGAATGAAAATAATTCATCTTCAAACTAATAACAACTCTTTTTACTTCTTAATTGGGAATAATCAATTGGTGTGTTGAGTTTAATAAAAGAATATTTACAAAACATTTTTATAAAAAATATAATGAAAAAAAAAAAAGAAATAAATAAAAGAAAGTGTATAATAATTTTTGAAAACAGTGATCCTAAACTTTTAATGCTAGGCACGTGCTTCTGTCTCCCCATTCCAGTTGTCCACGTCTCATCTTAAATTCTTTTACCGAAAAGCAACCACGTCTTTCAGTTGCAAACTACTACTACTATTACATCGTATTTTCGAGATTTGTGTCAGAAATTTGATTGTAGAACGTGTCTGACAGCTTGTGTATCCCACCTTAGAAACGAATCTTTTTTTAAGATGAAATTTTCTATACTTTATTCTCTTTTTCTCCCCCATACAGTTGTCACCTTATATGATTGACAAGATACATTGTAAAAAAAAAAAAAAAAAAACAGAAAAAACACAGAAGAAAACGAAATTGTCAAAAAAAAAAAAAAAAAAACAGAAAAAACACAGAAGAAAACGAAATTGTCATAAATCGTAAAAAATACATCACACACACACACACACAAATAAATATATACAGGTGAGTGTATTGAAAAGTATGAAAGTAAATAATATTTTTGATCAACCCTTCCTCCTATTGACAAAATACATTTTAAAAAAATAAACTGAACAGAACAAAATGATTTTGATCAACCCACACCCTTCTCTAAGTAAATAAAAATAATAATAATAATAATAATAGTATATAAGGAAGAAGTTGCATAAGATGAAAAAATATTAGATTAAAGTAATGGCTCGTTACCGTTCACATTAGTCCGATTATTTTGTTGAAAGATCTTTATCATTCAGCCATGTGGTCGACCTTTGACATCGATTATCGATACGATGATTACAGCACGCTTAAGTTAACGGCCATCGAAGCAATTTTCCACGACCCTCTTCTTCCCTTTCTCTCCTCTCACCCTAACCCTCCTCCCTCATCATTCTTCTATCTTTCTTTTCATTTCTTTCTGTTAACGATCATGAACGATAGGCTATGTCTAATCTGGGATAATAATTCGATAATGTTTAAAAAAAAAAAAAAAAACAATATTAAATTTCCAGTTAAATGGTGGAAGTACCCCTTTTCCATTTCTTCCGGAAAAAGTTTCATTCATTTTTTTTTTTTTATAATGTAAGTATACGTTTTTTTTTTTATAGATATTATTATTTATTGAATTGCTTTTTTTGTTTAATTGGAATACAAATTAGGAATTTACGATTAATTATATTTTATTTTTATTATTTTATTATTTTATTATATTTACCTCCTTCTGTGAACATTTGTCGTTTGCATTACGTAAAAATAAAAAAAATAGTTATTGATAATATAGTTATAATAATAATAAACTATACAACTATAATAATAAAGAATAATATTAATATAATATATTAAAACAATATAATAATATAATAAAATAATTAATAACTAAATAATATAACATATTATAAACTATATAACTCTATAATAAAAATAATGAATAAAAAATAGTTATTAATATATATAGTATAATAATTAAATATATATATATATATATATATTTTTTTTTTTTAAATTGGAATAAACGTGTAATAATATTTGTCTACTAGAATTTATCTATGCACTTGGAAGTTCTTTAAAAACAAATGCACTCATTGATACTACAAGTTCTCGTTTAATGACTTTAGTTCTATGCAATTACGTTACTAGTTTGTGTTGATGTTAAAAGAAAGGAAAGAAACGGTACACACATACATACATACACACACACACACAGTTAATGTAAATTTGTCGCGCGCTGTTAGGCAGAACTATTGCGAGTCTAATGGAGCGTTAAAGTAAAAATTCTACCACCTTTATATATATATATATATATCGGTTAAAACTATGTAACCGCGAGAATTGTTTCTTCTATTAACATCTAGGAAGTTCAAAAGTGTTAGAAACAAATATATAAATAAATAACATACATCTACATATACATATAAGAACTTAGCAACGTGTCTGACACGTGTTCAAACATAAATTAAATATCTTAGGTTAATAAAATGAAAAAAAAAAAGACAAAAATCAAATGGTATCGAGTATCAGATCATAAAATGCATGTACAATTAATTCAAATCAATTATTTTTATATAATCAATTTAAAATATATATATATACATATCAATGTATTATCTTCATATAGAAAAATTCAGTGTAACATTGTTGATTTTCAATAAACTTTGAAATTATTGTACAGTTCTTAATGAAATTTGTTTTATTTTATTTAATTTATTTCAATTTAGGATAAAGGATAGTTTTTATTGCAATTATTTGTTATTTGTTATTGTTACTTTAAGGATTTAATTATTAATAGGTTATCTAGTTACTTTAGGTAGTGTAAATTTTCAATATATGGCGCTGTATTACAATTCAATTATTTGGCTATATTCACGTCGTACATTTTTTTTCAGATTTACATATGTTCTAACCTATGATCATGTGTTTTTTTTTATATTATATAAATATATTTATTAAAAATTGTAT